CAACCCTGGGGTGGCGATCCGACCTGCGATGGTGCATGCGGGCGTGGCTGTCTCGGGGTTTGTTGATTACACATACCATCCACCAAACCGGGTGTCAACAACAGTCCCAGCACAGGTTTTGGGACCAGAAGCTTGTCATCTCAATCTTCACGAGCACCTTCACTGGGTTATGCCTCCTTTCAAGGGCAGTAGCGCTACATTGCAAGCCTCCTATTCCTCCTCCTCTTCCTCCTGTTCCTCCTCATCATTTTCCTCCTCCCCCTCTCTCTCCTCCCCCTCCTCCTCCTCCTCCTCCTCCTCCTCCTCCTCCTCCTCCTCCTCCTCCCCCTCCTGGGGGGGGTACGCTCAGGGTGGAAAGGGATAGGCTTGGGGGGGAGGGGATAGGGATAGGCTCAGGGGGGATAGGCTTGTGGGGGGGAGGGGGGGGGACTAGGTTCAGGGGAGGGACGCGTCGACCCCCCGGCGCCTCCTGCCGCTTCCTTCTGTCGCTCCCCACGCACCTCGCCCCAGTCGTGAAAGAGTTGCAGGGCGAGCCAGCCAGCATAGTGCTACTGGCTCCAGAAACATCTTACCTCACCATCTATGTATAGTTACATACATATATATGCATATATATATATATATACATATGTAACTCTATATATATATACAGATATATGCACTGGTCCTCATTTCGGTTCTTCCCCCATCTCGCGCGGCGAGGTGCGATGTGTGAGGAGTTGTCTGCCTGACGCTGCCGCGGTCCGTCACCGCTTGTTGCAGGGAGAGAGAGAGGCTGAAGTGTTTCGCGGGCCCACGGTCGTGCATTGTCCTGCCGTACTTCCCCCATGTCCTCTTCTTCTCCGTGTTTTCTCTTCCTCCTTGTGTTTCCTCATCGTGCCTCCTCCTCGTGCCTCCTCCTCCTCATGCCTCCTGCTTTTTCCTCCTCCGCGTTTTGTTTTCTCCTCGTGGTGTGGGCTGGTCGGCGGCGACCGCTTCCGTGTCCCTGCTGACCGGGTCCGTGCCAGGGAGGAGGCATCCGCGCGTTCGCGCTGGTGACGTCGCCTGCCTTTCAAAAAAAGCAGTCGAGGCCGATGTTAGCGTTTGGTATTGCCACGATGCCCTTGTCCTCTCAGGTGGCCGCGCTGCCCAGATATCCAACGTATTGAAGAAACTCGCCTGGCGAAAGACCCAACCATACGCAGTTGTGAATACCGCAGTTGTGAAAACCATTTTTGCCCACGATCCCTATGTGGCCACGGTTTCCCGCCGGAGCCCGACATACTCAGAGACACGTTCGCGGCCGTCTTCGCGGGCGCCGACGACGACGAGGACGGCGCCCCCCTGACCGAAGAGCAGAAGCAGGAAAAGGTTCTGAGAGTCATGAGGGAAGCTGCCACTGGCGCCTTGGATGGAGCTCGGCCACGATCCTCGTGAGGGGTGTGCCGAAATCGCCCGAGGGCGCCACGCGATCCCTGCCATTGGGGCCTTCGGTGGAGCTCCCTGTGGGGCCACGAAGCGTGTGAGGTGTGTGCCCAAATGGCCCGGGGCCGCCATGCAAGTTCCGCCACTGGGACTTTAGGTGGAAGTCCCTACGAGGCCACGAAACGTGTGAGCGGTGTGCCGAAATGGCCCGAGGCCGCCATGCAAGTTCCGCCACTGGGGCTTTAGGTGGAGCTCCCTATGTGGCCATGAAGCGCGCGAGGGGTGTGCCGAAATGGCCCGGGGCCGCCACGCGAGTTCCGCCGCTGGGACCGCAAGTGGAGCTCCCTGCGGGGCCGCGAATCGTGCGAGGGGTGTGCCGGAATGGCCCGAGGCCGCCATGCAAGTTCCGCCACTGGGACCTTGAGCGGAGCTCCCTGCGGGGCCACGAAACGTGCGACGGGCGCGCCAAGATGGCCCGAGGCCGCCATGCAAGTTCCGCCACTGGGACCTTCGGTGGATCTCCTTACGGGCCACGATCCTCGTGAGGGGTGTGCCGACATGGCCCGATGCCGCCATGCGAGTTCCGCCAATGCGACCTTGGAGTTTCGTGTGTGGCCACGAAGCGTGCGAGGGGTGTGCCGAAATGGCCCGAGGCCGCCATGCGAGTTCCGCCACTGGGACCTCAGGTGGTGCTCGCTGTGGTGCCACGAAACGTGCGAGGGGCCTTCCGGGATGGCCCGAGGCCTCCATGCGAGTTCCGCCACTGGGACCTTAGGTGGAGCGGAGCGCCCTTTGGGGCCACGATCTTCGTGAGGGGTGTGCCGACATGGCCCGAGGCCGTCACGCGAGTTCCACCACAGGGACCTTAGGTGGAGCTCCCTATGGGCCACGAAACGCAGAAGGGGTGTGCCGACAGAGAGAGACATGCGGAGGGCAGAGGCAAGAAGGGGGAGGAGGGGAGGCAGCGGGAGGAGAAAGAAGGCAAGATGATGCGAGCGCTGTTTGTTCGAAGCGAGGACCCAGCACCACTGGATGGTTGGGAATCAAGACGGAGGTTTTTTTTTCTGTTTTTCAGCTTTCGGCCTCCAGGGGCCGTCGCCGGGCCGCGGACCGTCAAACACCGATTCAGGATGAAAAACAAGTCCTGGGGAATGGGTCAAGAGAGACTTCGGGGGGCCGCGTACTGACAAAAAACACGGCATCGGAGTTTTGGGGTCTTCTGGGAAAAGGAAAAATCGTAGGATGCTGTGCTTGTCCGCCGCGGGAGGTGAGCGGAAGGAATAAGAAGGAGGTTGGTACTTCTCTTCTTTTTCCCTCCATCCTCGCTCCTCCGTCATCACTCCTCCGTCCTCCTGCCTCCTGCCTCCTCTTCCTCCTCATCCTCCTCATCCTTTTCTTCCTCCCCCTCCTGCCCCTCCTCCTCCTCCTCTTCCTCCTCCTCCTCCTCCTCCCCCTCCCCCTCCTCCTCCTCCTCCTCCTCCAGTTCCCTTTCCTCCTCCTCCTCCTCCTCCCCCTCCTCCTCCTCCTTCTCCTCCTCTTCCTCCTCCTCCTCCTCCTCCTCCTCCTCATCGTGGGCGTGAGCGCGGCAAGAAGGGTTCCTCGCCGACTGAAACATCATACTGCTTCACGAATTTCGCGGAGAGAAGTTCGAGGCTGTGGGTTTGAAAGGCCAGTTATTCGACGTTTGGCCTGACACAGTATGATTTTTCAGTCGGCGAGGGACCTTTCTTGCCGCGCTCACGCTCACGATGAGTAGGAGGAGGAGGAGGAGGAGGAGGAGGAGGAGGAGGGGGAGAGGGAGAGAAGTTCGAGGCCGTGGGTTTGAAAGGCCAGCTATTCGACGTTTGGCCTGACCCGTGCACGCCTCAGGGTCCACTTCGATCCGACCAGTCCTATTCGATATCGGTTCCGGCCGCCCCGACCCGCTTCCATTCCGCGGCTCCGACGATCCGATGCGGCCCAACGTCTGCGAGGCGTTGTTGGAAGGATTGCAAAAAAACGAAGGATTGCAAACAAACCCAGGATTGCAACAAAAAAATCAGGGTTTTTTGCAATCCCTCGTTTTTGTTGCAATCCTTCGGTTTTTGTTGCAATCCTTCGTCTTTGCGCAGTCGACCTGGTGCACATTTCGATGCTGGCTGATCTCTGGACTGGCCCGAGAGTGTGGCACCGAGCGCCCCGATCCCTGCTTCGGGCCGATGCGGCTGCTGAGACCCGCAGCAGGACCAGCGGCGGCCGGACCCTGCGCGTAGCACCAACAGGATCAAATATCGTCGCCCTTCCTCCCCGCCCTTCTTCCTGCCTGGCGCCGCCGACCAGCGACGAGACGGCGCGGGGACCCCCGGAGGATAAAATGGATTCAGCACCCTTTTCACCCCCCCCCAAAAAAAACAAATGAAATGAGTTCGAGCACCGAGCCTTCAGCCCTTACTGGGTAGTCGAAGGCCAGACTGTCAGATTGGATTGGGCCCCAAGGGCCAATCTGGCCCGGCCAAACTAGATGATTGGGGTTGTTCGCCAGACTGGATTCGCGTTGGCTCCCTCGCCAGATTGCCCCCGTTTGCCAGATTGGGCCTGCCAGATTGGCGCCAGATTGGCGTCGACTACCCAGTTCGAGCACCGAGCCTTCCGCCCTTCTCCTCTGGCCCCGATGTTCGAGCCCCGGTGCTCGAGCCCCGACCCTCGAACCTCGGTCCGCGGCCCTCTCTATCCTCGAACACCGTTCCTCGGGCCCCGATCCCTGAATCCTCGAGTCTCGATGCTGGAACCCTGATCCTCCAACCCCCATCCTCGGACACCCATCCTCGAATACCGATCTTCGTGCCACGATCCTCGAACCCTGATCCTCGAGCCCCGATCCTCGAATCCCGATCCGTGAATCCCGAATCCCGAACATTCGACCTTGGCGGAGGTGGAGGAGGAGGAGGAGGGGGAGGGAGTGGGGAGAGCAGGAAGAGAGGAAGAGGGCGAAAGCGCAGAGGAGGAGACGGCGGGAGAAGGGGATCGGAAGAGGAGAGGAAAAGAGGGTTCGAAGAGAAAGGAAGAGGAGAAGGAGAAAGGAGTAGAAAGCAAGAAGAAGAAGAAGAAGAAGAGGAGAGAGGGGGGGGAGAGAGAGAGAGAGAGAGAAAACAAACAAAAAAAAAAAAAAAAAAACGTTATAATGTTGGAAGAGGAGGAGGATCGGATCAGATCCGAACCGCTGGGGACGATCTCAAGCTGCCAGTCAAAGGCCTGCATCCGCTAGCTCCTGGAACCTGACAGGAGGAGGAGGAGGTGGAGGAGGAGGAGGAGGAGGAGCGAGGAGCGAGAAGGAGCGAGAGGAGGAGAAGGATGCAGGAAGCAGGAGGGAGAGGGAGGCAGAGTGAGGAGAAGAGAAAAGGGACGAGGAGGAGGAGGAATACGAAAAAGAAGAATAAGAAGAAGAAGAAGAAGAAGAAGAAGATCAGGAGGAGGAGGAGGAGGAGGAGGAGGAGGGGGAGGGGGAGGGGGAACGGGAAGGGGAGGAGGAGGGAGGGAGGAGGAGGAGGAGGCGGGAGGGAGAAAGAGGAGGGAGGGAGGAGGAGGCCTTGAAGACCCTCAAGCCCCCTCAGCCGTAGGAGCTGCTGCCGGTGGCCGCCACGCTGGGCTTGGCGTCGCCGCTCCGCTCCTCCTCGCCGTCGTCGTCGTCCTCCACCTCCTCTGGCTCGGGCTCCAGCCTCGGCTGCGCGATCACCGGCGCGCGGGTTAACCGCGAGAGGTCCTTAATGGGAGGGCTCCCCCCGTCCCGAAGGGAAGAAAATTCACCATTTGACTTGGTCGCGTTCCTTTCTTTTTGAACTTCTTTTGTTTGTCCTATATTTTGCTCGCGTTCTCTCTTTCTCCCAGCCCCACGTTCATAAGCTTCTCCACACAAGGGCTTCGTTTGCAATCTACAGTGAAAGAAGTCATGATGCAACCCGCCACATACAGAATTCCTTGTGTAACCCGCCACAAAGAATTATGGTGTGGTGGACGTACAAAAACAAAAGCATAACAAAAACAAAAGACGTAAACAGACAAAAAACGTATGGGACTCCCACTTTTCTTGATCATGCGTTGGCCTACTAGCCATGCTGCAGAAGGAATCCTTATGCAATCCTCCATAAGGGGAGTCCTTGTGTGATCCGCCACGATTGGATTTGTTGTAACCCGCCACAAAGGGGGATTCTTATGTAATCCGCCACAGGAGGAATGCTTATGTAACCCGCCACACAAGGAATCTTTTTCGTACTCCGCCACCGAAGAATCCTTTTGTAATCCGGGAAAAAGGATGTTGCCTAATCCGCAACAAAAGGAGTCCTTCTATGACGGACGTACAAGATGGCAGAGGGCCCAGGCGGGTACCAGCCAACAAAGGAAAAATAAGAAAGAGGGAATAATGAAACATTTATTTAAACAGGCAAAATGTTCAGTGTTCTATTGCTTTATTGTGGCTGGCGCCCAATTGCCTCCTCGGTTGAATCCCGCACAAAAGAACTCAACGTGTAAATCCGCCACAAACAAAACCCGTCACACATGAAATCACCAAAGGAATCTTGCGTGGTGGATTTCCTCTTGTGGCAGATTTGCACATTGAGTTCATGTGTGACGAAGTTGGTCGACAGCCCATTTGACAGACCGCGACGAAAAAAGATTACTAAGAGTTGCGAAACAGCGTGTTCTACCGCTGCTGGCGGAAAACGGGGGGGGGTCATTACCGGTTCGAACCCCTCCCCCGCCCCCCTCCGGAAAACCAGGGTCACTACCGGTTCGAACCCCTCCCCCCCCCCAGTCCATCATGAAAACGGGGGGGGGTCACTACCGGTTCGAAACCCCCCCCAAACCCCTTCGAAAACCGGAGAGAGGGTGCGGACAGTGGTGGGGACGGTGGTGGTGTGGTGGGGACAGTGGGACAGTGGTGGGGAGATGGTGTGGTGGGGACAGTGGTGAGGACAGTGGTGGGAACAGTGGGGATTGTGGGACAGTGGTGGGGACGGTGGTGGTGGGGACAGTGGTGTGGGGAGTGGGAATGAGGTGGAAACAGTGCGACTGTGGAGGTACTGTGGTGGTGGGGACAGTGGTGAAGGCGGTGGCGAGGACGGCGGTGGGACAATGGGACAGAGGTTCAGTGGGGACAGTGGTGGGGACAGTGGGGACAGTGGTGGGAACAGTGGGACAGCTCAGTGGGACAGCGGTGGAGTCGGTGGGACAGCGGGGACAGCGGGGATAGTCGGGCAGTGGTTGGGGCCGTGGAGAAAGTGGGGAGAGTGGAACCGTGGTGGGAACAGTGGTGGGGACAGTGGGGACAGTGCGACAGTGGTGGGGGCACTGGTGGGGACAGTAGGGACGGTGGTGGAACCAGCGGGGACAGTGGTGGTGAGGACAGTGGTGCTGGGAACAACAGTGGGGGATGTGGTGCGGACGGTGGTAGGGACCGGGAGTCGTTTGCTGGCGGTGAGGGGGAGGGTTCGAACCCCGGTTTTCGAAGGGGGGGGGGGTTCGAACCGGTAGTGACCCCCCCGAGTTTTTCGAGGGGTAGGGGGGGGGGAGGGGTTAGGGGAGGGGGGGGGTTCTGCCGGGGGAGAGAGGGGGGGAGGGGGGGGTGGGGTCCAGCAGGAAGGGGGGGGGATTTTCGGAGAGGGGGAGGGGGGGGGAACCCCGGGTTCCGGAGGAAGAGGGGGGGGAATTTTCCACAGTAAAGCGGCGGTGGACCACGCTCTCTCAGAATTGCAGACGTTGTTCCCCACATGTTTCGTGGGGTTCGGGTTTTCTTCCCTGCCGCGCCGCACTGGCGTCTTCCTCACCCGCCTCCCTCTCTTTCTCCCTCTCTTCACACACACAGACACACGCACAGGCATCACCTGCGCAGCACAGCACAGCATCGCACAGCACAGCACAGCACAGCAGACCGCAGCACAGGACAGCACAGCACAGCACAGCTCAGCAGAGCGCAGCACAGTACAGCACAGCACGCCGCAGTCGTCCAGGCAAAGCAGGCGCGGCGCAATCTCGATACCATAGGGGGTGCGCAGGTCGCGCTGGTCGTCCAGGGCATAACAGGCGTGGCGCTTTGTCGATACCACAGGGGGGGCGCAGGGAGTGGTTTCCCTATCCGCGCCTGTCGTCCAGGGCCCAGGGCATAGCAGGCGTGGCTTTTTTAGACACAACAGAGAGTGCGCAGTGGGTGGTCTCCCTATCCCGCGCCGGTCATCCGGGGCATAGCAGGCGTGGCGTTTTCTGAACACAATAGGGGGTGTGCAAGGAGTGGTCTCCCTATCCGCGCCGGTCGTCCAGTGCATAGCAGGCGTGGTGCTTGGTCGACACAATAGAGGGTGCGCAGAGGGTGGTCTCCCTATCCGCGCCGGTCGTCCAGGACATAGCAGGCGTGACACTTTCTAGATACCATGAGGGGTGCGCAAGGAGTGGTCTCTCTATCCGGGCCGGTCGTCCAGGGCAAAGCAGGCGTGGCACTTTCTCGATACCATAGGGGGGTGCGCAGGGGGTGGCCTCTGAGCGCGGCCGCTATGCACGACAGTATCGCAAAGCCTTGCAGGCGTAGCAGTTTCACGACACCATGGGGGTGCGAAGAGGGTGGTCTCTGAGCGCGGCCGCAGGGGGCACCAGAGAGCATGGTCGCGGTGGTAGTGGTAGTGCGGTTCACGCAGGACATTAAATAAGTGTGTGGGGTTCCTCGGTGGCGTAATTATGTTTTTTGTGTTATGTTGTGTTGTTCTATGTTGTTTTGGTTTCTGACCCCCTAGGCCTTTGGTCTTGTACGTACGCCACACACGAATCATTGTGTGGCGGATTCCAAAAGGATTCCTTTTTGCGACGGATTAAAGAGGATTTCTCGTGTGGCAGATTTCAAAGGGAATCCTTCTGCGGCGAAAAACAAAAGGTTTCTCTGTGTGGCAGAATACAAATGGATCTCTTTTGTGACGGATTACCAGAAAGGATTCCCTTTGGGGAGAATTGCAGAGAATTATTTTTGTGGCGTGGCCAGTAGCCCAACGCACGTACGTACGTACATGGGTGCGTATGTATATACGCATGTATGTAAGTAGATCGGTAGGTAGGTGCGCATGCATGCATACATGTATGTGTGTTGGTATGTGTGTATGGGTGGCTAGATGTATGTGTGCAGTCACACATACATTTGTAGATGTATTCGCTTGATCGTGTACGCGTATGGTTCATTGCAAATGAGTTAATGTTCTTGCACTTCCCTCCCCTAAGATCTATCGTTCATTCCCTCGCCCCCCCCCCCAGTCAGCGACAAAGACGGCGGACCCAATCTGCCAATTAGCCCGCGGAAAATAATCAGTTTCAATTGCATTGAAGATGCCTGAATAAAGACCTTTCGAGGTGATCGGATGTTACTAGAATTTGCCTATTGATTTCGGAAGCGTCGGGGGCCCGGGGCGTCTTCCATGCTGCGCCTCGGCGAGAGCGTGCCGGGGGGGCCGCCTGAGGCCCGAGCCACGGCATTACAATCGAAGAACAACAGACGCATAGAACATGAATGGCCACAAAGTTCTGAAGTCCGCGCGGATATCTTGGATCAGAGCTGCCCCGCTCCTGGCTCTGGCCTCGAGCGAGCGCATCCTCCTCCTCATCCTCCTCCTCCGGCGCCAGCCTCGGTTGTGCAGGGTGCAGGAGATCGCCATCATGAAGAACCTTCTGAGCCCTCCATTGGCCCGGGACTGTCGAAAACTATTCGCGATGACAAACTGGTCTTGGAGAAGGGATCGAGAATCCAGGACTCGATCCTCTCATGGCAAAGGTGATGGGGGTCGGCCAGTCCCTTCCCCAATCCCCTCGGCACGTCCCTGAGAACAGGCACGCCACGTTTAGCAGCAGATCTTCTTCTTCGCCGTCGTCGTCCTCGCCGCCGTCCCCCTCCGTCGCCGGCCGTGGCCGCGGGCGGGCAAGTCTGTCCAGACCCCTGCGCATTGAAGAAAAACCGCCACGGAGGCGGCTCCCCGCTTGCGACTCTGGGGCCCTCGCTGGGCCACGGGGGATTGGAGGGGGAGGAAGAGGAGGAGGAGGAGGAGGAGGAGGAAGAGGAGGAGGAGGACGAGGAGGAGGAGGAGGAGGAGGTGGAGGAGGAGGAGGAGGACGAGGACGAGGAGGAGCGGGAGGAGGGGGAGGAGGAGGAGGGGGAGGGGGAGGAGGAGGAGGAGGGGGAGGATGGGGAGGAGGAGGGGGAGGAGGAGGAGGAGGAGGAGGAGGAGGAGGAGGGGAAGCGGGCTGCTGCATAGCCCCTCGCCAGAGCGTCAACTCATGGTTTCCACCATGGTGGAAACGCATTTTGCTGGCCACAGTTTAGAGCAGCTGGCAGCCAGGTGCTCGCCACGAGGTGTGAAGGCGTTCCAGGACAGATCAGGCAGCTATCGTGTCGCTTGCGCGCGGGCGATGATGAAAAGCGTGTGGCCCGTCGCTCCAGATTTGATGATGAAGAGGGCGGGGGTCACGACCCTCCCAGACGAACCATGTCAGGCCCCGCCCCTCGTCGGGGGGCCCCCCCGGGACCTCCTCCGCCGACCTCTTCCCCCCCCACTCTCCGCGGCAGGAGCCTGTCTTCTTAAGGCCTGGGCGATAACGGTCGTGATCGGCCCTCTCCCTCTCCCTTCCCCCCCTCCCATCACGTCGCGCTGTTTTGTCCACGTTTGCGAAGAGCTCCTTCGGAC